GATAAAAAAAAAAAAAGGTAAAATTTCAACGGAAATATATTTCAATGGTAATGTCAATAGATATTCCAATGTTATTATTATCGTTGAAATTTTTCAATGGATTCCAACAAAAAACATTCCGTTAGAGTAAGTTTTCTATTGGATTTTTTCATTGATTTTGACGATTCCAACGGTTGAGATATAGATAGAAGTAAAAATTTCAACGCAAATTGTATATTCAAATGAAATTCCTAGTGTATAACACAATTGAAAAAATAGCTATTGGAATTATTAAATTTCATCTGAAATTCCAATGTAACATTCACTCCCATGAATATATTAATTAGAATTTAAGTTGAAATCATTGCAATAGAAACTAAATAATTAGAATATCCGTTGAAATTTTTATTATAATATATTATATTGGATTTTTAGTTGAAATATATTATTTTTTAATTTTTTTTTTAAAATGGTAGCCGTTGAAATAATTGTTTGCATCCAAAATGTCAACTTTAAAAAGCTTTTTGAAAAGAGGAATTAGTTGTCTTTTACATGTCAAACACTTAATTATTTACCAAACACTTTGTAATTCTGCTTAAGCCTCACATGTCAAACACTTGATTATTTACCAAACACTTTGGTAAGTACCATAAACTAGTTTATAGCTAATTTTGTTATCTTATAAGCCTCGCATATAATTTTTTAAATAAGTCAATTGAAAATACTATTTCAGCTAGCTTATCAGTTAATTTTATCAAAGACTTTTATCCTATCAGCTAGCTTTTCAGCCATAAGCTTTAAGTACAAACTCGAAATTTACTTAGAGTATGTTTGGTAATCACCAAAAACTAGTTATAGTTTATTTATTTAGTTTATATATAGCTTTCTGTATGTCAATAAACTTGGTTTGATAGGACAAATTTTTCTAAAAATTCAAACTTATTTCATAATGTTTCTTAGTAGTTTTTTAAATAAACTCATTTAACTTCTTATTTCAGCTATCACCAAATTTATCAGTTACGTATACAAAACCTAGTAGCCTGGCAAACAAAGCATAAAAAGAGTTCTATTTGTAATTTATTTATCTATTTATTTGTTATTGGGTTGAATAATTGTTTTTTAGTTACCTGCAAGATCATGAAACAAGCCCAACTCAGGGTTCCGACGGTGATCATGACCGCGCCCTTAATCGAATCTTGGAGAGTCACTTGGGTTTGTTGGTGTTGATCGTGGGCCGGGCCTTGTTTGGTCCATGGCATGTCCAAATTTGGGCCTGTTATTAATGTCATGATCATGGCCCCAGCCACCGTTGCAAGTGTCCCAATTATCTTGGCCTGGCTTCGTATGTTAGTTATCTTTACTTTCTCAAGCCTGTTAAGTGGTAACAAGATAAATATACAATTTCAAACCGTCCTCGATTTTTATCCCATAAAAAGAGCATCGAACTCCTGATATTTGAGTCTCGTAAATAAAATGAAACGATAAAAGAGCTCGAGTTTGCATTATTTATTAATACTAACTGACCAAGTTATAAAAAATTACTTAAAAAGTTCAAACGAGTCGAGCTGAACCGAGCTGTCTTGTTAACTAAACAGACTTTAAAAAAATTCAAGCCTAAGCCTTAATAAGTGGAGCTTTTAACAGCTTTAACCGATAGATGACAGTATCATACAAATAAATAAATAAAGAATTCAACGTAAAATATATAAATAATAATAAATTTAATAAAAAATAAGAAATAAATGATATATATGTATATATATAATTACTTTTCTGAAAAAAAAAATACTAAAAGTAATGAAATCTAACAGAACTACTAACAGAAAAAAGTTAAATATTATGAGGAATATTTGTCAATTTTGGACTATTAATTTATTATACCGGTCTTTTCTTTTTTCCGTTTGTTTTTTTCTTGTAAATAGACGGAACCTTTTGCAAGTTGTTAAAATCGTATTATTTAATAGAGAGAAAAAAAACAAAGAATAACTGAAAGCGCACCTGAAGAAACACGCTATCACGAAAGTTATGGCGGGAAGCACGTTGGCCATGGCCGCCGCAAACGTGGCCGTTGTGTACTTCATACCCAAAAAGTAGAGATTTTGGTCTATCACTGGCCTGTTTTAGATTTTAGCATCACATTAAAATCAGAGTTTGTTACACATAT